TACATTACAAAATGCCAATCCCAATTGTGGTTTTAAGCCAAAGACTACCTATAATGCATAAACTTCTGTGAATTACTTTATATTTTCATTATCCAGAGAAGAATGACTAGCCTTTTAATACAAAACTTCAAAGAATCTTCTCTATTGTAGTAATAAACATATCTGTGTTCTACAGTTCAGTCTTTTTCCCCCATTCAGGGCAGATCAGATTGTTCTAGTTCAGGGGTGTCAAACTCCCTGCTGGTGGGCTGGATGTATCACGCGCTGGCCACATCCGGTTTAATGAAGGGGGAAAAAGTCCAGATACATCATGTGATGCCACCATGATGACACGAGTTTGACATCCGTGTTCTAGTTACAATATAAAATGACATATGTTGTCATGATGTAGCCTACCAACTCTCTTCACATTGATTCATTATAAGACCAGTTGCCTTGAAAATCCAGTATGCTTTGTACCTTCAGAATTTATAGAACTTAATAAAGTACAAGAATGTTATAAAAATTAATTCAGCATTATTGTGGTTTAATTTAAACATTGTACCTTTTCAATGAGATCCACACATTCTGCAAGTGTCTTGTTGACCTTATCACTAAGCAGTCCTTGTTCATCTTCTTCAACAATAGTAGCCCAAAAGGATTCAGCTGGCTCTTCAATAGTTTGCTGACATGTTGCTTTTTTAGGCTGACTATTTACAGGTACATTGTTATGTACCTTCTTTATCCCCTTTGAAGCCTGCCATTCAGCTAGCTGAAGTCTAAAATATAAACATTTAAGTTGATTAGTACAGTACTTCATCTTGTTTTTTAGCTAGAAATAGAACAGCTACCCAGTTATCTAGCCTCAGTGAAATGAGGTCTGTCAATTCACAGCTCTTCATATCTATCTCAAAAAAACATTTACATTACAAGAGATAAAAATCAACTGTTAAGCAGTTAATATTCAAAATTGCAATTGCAAGTCATGATTGCTAGAAAAATAAGGCAAAGAGAGAACTAAGCTGAAACAGCCAGAGCTGCCCGTATTTTTGTGCCATTGTGTTCAATTGGTAATTACAGTTGAGATCCAATGGCCTACCAAAACAAAACAAAACTTCCAGTGAAAGCATAGAAGCCTGTAAGCCTAAATGCATGTATATTTTGCATGTATAATTGTTTGATCATAATTATCTAAAGCAAAAGAAATGATTTATCACATTGGGTGGGGGAGCACACAATTAAACATTTATCTTCTGTATTAAGTTGTGAAAGCATCCTGTTTTCAAGCCCCCAAATTCAGTATGTGCAATTGCTTTAAACTGTTGACTATTCAAGGCTAATTTAAGACAAAATGAATAAAACATCCCAGTCATAAACATGGACGTGATGGTGGGGCTGCAAGAGTTTATTTTCTTTTGTACAATCTGCAATTTGCTGGATTTTGGTGTACCATGTTGATCAAACCCAGCTAAATGAGATTTATTCCACAAAATCTAGCAAGCATAGTCTGAAACATTCCATCTCTTTTTTGATGCTGTATTGCCTCAATACATTTTGATACAAAAATGCAGGCATTTACCTTACCTTCTCACATCTACAGATGTCGGAGCTTTTTTAATTGATTTTGAAGTAGCATGACTTTCAGAAAGTGGCACTTTTAGGCTTCCACTTACAGTTTTAGATGAAGCAAGTTTGTTTATCCTTGGGACAGAATAATTAGCATTGACTGGAACAGTCTTTAATAGTGATTTCCGATTGCTGGAAGAGTTCTTTTGGGCTGCCTCAGTATTCTCTGTGCCACCACTAATAGATAGTTTCTCATGATTCAAAATAGTTTTGGGATGATAAACAGAAACTCTCACAGTACTGGACTTGGAATTTAGGACTTTAGGAGCACCGGTGTTGCCAGTGACTTTAGCATCCTTTATACTTGCATTATTAGTTGTGGCTGGTTTTACTCTTGATTTAGGCAGAGAATTGCTAGGCTCATTTGCTGGAACTTTTCTGAAGGAGTTTACCTTAGAAGAAACTATTTTTCCACGATATGAGCCAAGTATACGTTTATCTGAAATGCATGGAACAGAATTGGAGACTTCTGCTTTTATTTGTTTCTTTACGTTTGCTTTCTGTAGAAAGGTCTGAGTAAATGACATAACCTTGGATTTTACTGCTGCAGATTCAGGATCTGCTACTGTTGTATTGTTTGGAGAATTACAATTTGTATCCGTCTTAATTTGTTTTAGTACATGGGTATTCAAGTTTTTAGGGGAAACAAAAGTGCTTTCAAGTATACTGTCTCCTTCGTTCCATATACCCGTAGATACAGTGGCATTTTCTTTGTCTTCCTGAAAAAAATTAACATAGCATTAACTAACATGAATATTTTGTTCTAAAATACTCTTTAAAATTAGAGTGGTGTGAGCCACATAGCATCTTGATACATCTTGTAATTTTCACTTTTCATCAGTTATAACATACTAAAAAGCTATAACATCGGGACATTGGAAAAGCCAGTCAAAATAGTAATTTCACATTTTTTAAACTTATCTTTACACGTAGTCCTTGGCTTATGATCACAATTGGCCCAAAATTTATGTTAAGTGAAACATTTAAGTGAGTTTTGTCCCATTTTACAACCTTTTTTTGCCATAATTGTTCAAGTGAATCACTGCAGTTGTTAAGTTAATAACAGTTACTAAATGAATCTGGTTTCCCCATTGATTTTGCTTGTCAGAAGGTTGCAAAAGTGATCACATAACCCCAGAACACTGCAATGGTTGTAAACTGTGAAAAACGGTCATGTCCCTTTTTTCAATGCCATTGCAACTTCAAATATTCTGCCTTTTAAAAATATATCCTAAAGTATTTCATTTTCCTAGGAGACGGGTAGGTTTTAACTTCCAACAATTTAAAAAACTTTAATGTACAAGAAACCCTGCCTGCCTTATACAGTACCACAAAATCCTTCCTTATATTTCATATATATTACGGTATAGCAGTTTTTTTTAAAGACAGAAATTCCCATGTCCCATCTCTTAATTGTAATATAAATCTATCTTCAGCTCCAGTCTAAGATACCAATGATAATCTTTTATGACTTACCATTTTTTGTTGTTGACAGAATTCAGTTTTCCAACTTTCCTTGATTTCCTAAAAAGAAAAAAGAAAAAAACCTTTTAATATAAAGCCTCATTTACCCAATAAAAAAGTGTTTTAAACATAGCAATTCTATACGTATTGTTTTCTGGGCTTCTTCTGAAAAGATTGCAGAATGTGCAAGAAACGGCTCAACCAGACAAACCCATTCAAGTTGCACCACCAGAGGTCACAAGCTGTTTTATACTTGAATAAAAACAAGTCACAGGAGGGAAGCCATCTGACTTCAGGCATTACGGCAGCCAGAAAACTGTTGCTTGTCTTCAGAAGACTTAAATCATAACCTACCAAGTCCCCAACCACTGTTCCCCCCCCCCCGCTTCCCCAAAGCAAGAGCCCCCTTTTTCGGCTTCATTTGTTCAATTAGAACCCACCCAACAAAGTGGAAAACTTGTCCTTCCACGAAGTCCAAATTAAATTTGTTTTCGCTGTTGTTTTTTTTAACATCGGTACCCCATCCCCCCCCCCCCCCCCCCCCCACATACACCTCACGGCGCTTACCCACCCGCTTGCCTTGCAAGGAAAAGATTCTCCCGCAGAAGCGATGCAACCGACTCCCCGATCTCCTCCTACACGGCCGTTTGAATTTAATCTCGCGCCTGGAGGTCACGTGAGCGACACAGCCCTGCCGATTAGTGCAGCCGGGAGCTTGAAATTAGCCAATCAGGAAGCAACAAAATGTTACTCGGCTGACTCTTTCTGTCCAGGGCTCAGCAGCCTGTGTGGTTCTTTTGAAAGATGCGTGGCGGCTGTTACCGTTCCCGCCCCCCCCCCTCCCTCAGGGCTAACCGTCCAGATTGGCTCTTTTTTGCATATAAAGTTTTGCGTCTGCCTATATCCTGGGTCCTACCTCTCTCTTTTTTTTTTTCTGTAATTTGTGAATTCCTTTTGGGGGGAACGAATGCCTGCTGTAGCTTTATGCAGTTCATTTTTCGTCTTTTCATTTTGGGAGAAAGGAAAGAAGAAAACTTCGAGTCTTTAAAAAAAACTTGGGGAAAAAATATTGTTCCACCAGTTTGGAAGGAACTGCTTCCTTTATACGTGCAGATTTACAATCCCATTAAAACTTCATGGGTTTTACTTTTAAACATGCTTATTGTGTTCAAAAGTAACTCTCCACTGGGCAGGTGGGAATAGAGGAAAATATTCTCGAGATATTTTAGAAAAACTCTTCTGGAACGGGATAATAATTTCCCCCTGTTTACAGTTAGAAAGCCGGTCTGCCTGCCTACCACTAACAAGAAGTCTTTAGAATAACTTTTGTCACTTTGAATGTACACTAATCGGCATACATTAAAATGAAATTTCATTGCATACAGCTCACAAAAGGTCACCACCACCAATATACACTACATAAATAAATATAATAATACAATCATGCATATACCCATATATATTATACAGAGAAAAAACACAGTCTAAGAATTATCACAGAACAAGTCTGAAGGGAATGTCTGGCGGGTGAGCAATGGGTGGCGCAGTGCTTAAAAAAGGGAAATCGAGCTATTCTCCAAAGCACCTAAGGGCTGGAAGGAATGGATGGAAACTAATCAAGGAGAGAAGCAACCGAGCACTAAGGAGACATTTCCTGAGAGTCAGAACAATTAATCCGTGGAACGAATTGCCTCCAGAACTTGTGAATGCTCCAACACTGGAGGCTTTTGAGAAGAGATTGGACAACTATTTGTCTGAAATGGTGCAGGGTTCCCTGTCAGAGCAGAGGGCTGGACTAGAAGACCTCCAAGGTCCCTTCCGACTCTGTTAATTCTGTTCTGTTAAATGACGCCTATAAGGTCTGCCTCCGGTGATGACATCTGGCGTCATTCTCGTCACCACGAGAACTCACGTCCAAAGGGGAGGCGCCATGGGCGGAGCGAGCCGTCTGTATTGCCGGGAAAGGGAAGCGCGTTCGTGCGCGGCGGAGGTTCCATGGATCGCTTCGCCTGGGCTACTGGCCTCTTGGAGATCCACGAGAACCTCGTCACGCAGCAGCGCGGGGTCCGCCTGTACGATGGGGAGGAAAAGGTCAGGGCGGCGGATGGAAGCTGCGCCAGGAGGGAGGGAAGCCGGCGGGGGAGGGCGGAGGGGCCTCGGCCTCTCCTAAAGGCAGCTGGCAAAGAGGGGAACGGGGATTGAGGAGCCCACCGGGTCGTTCTTCGGCCGGAGAAAAAGCCGCGGGGGCGCTACTTGAAAGACGGGGAGTCGCCTAAACAGGAATCCACTTCCATCCCGGATTTCAGGCCCCAGCGAATCAGGCGTATGGCAGATCCGGTTCCTCGAATGTCCTTTTCCTTTTGTTTCATTAGCTTTTGCCTTCTTTATTCGTCACTCAAAAGTGGCGATTATATTGAAGTCAATTTCTCCATGCCCTTTTGCACCAATATTAGTAGTCCCATATTTTTATATATATTTATGCTATCTCTAAGGAAAGCCATATAGTGCCTGCTCTGTTAGGAATTTTGCGCATCTATGTGCGCTGCTGTGTTGCCTCTTTGCTGCTGTGTTGCCTCTTCGTTCATATGTGAAGTTGTTTCTTCAGTATTATAATCCATCTTGTAGGCATAAACATCTAAAGCAGTTTACAACTACAAATATATAAATACAATAAAATTACAGTGTTAAAATACGGGAATGCAAACGTCCCCAAAATCTTTGTTACAGGGCAATTGCTAGAGTCTTTCCTTTTTGAATTGAACTTTATTTGGCCAGGTGCAATTAGATATACAAGGAGTTTGCCCCTGGTGCAGAAGCTCAGAGTGTACAACACAAAGCAACAGAATCATAAATCATAATACCTATAAGTATATAGGTATTTACTGCCTATGAGTAGTAAAGATGAAGGATAAATAATATTGCAGCCACACTACATGAATAAAAATAGACATTAGACAACACTGAGAATGAGGAATTCATCAAAGTGAAAGCACAAAAGAAGAAACTATCACTTTGTCTAGTTGTTTGGGCATGCAGTGCCCTGTAGTGCCTCCTGAAGGGAGGATTTGTCCTAGTTGTGAAGGGTCTGTGGGTACCTTCTCAGCCCACTTCTGACCCACCCAACATACAGGTCCTCTGGAAGGCAGACTGGTTGCAATTGTTCTTTCTGCAGCCTAATTAAGACTACTGCCTGTAATCTGTAGTGGAGTCTCTAATTGTTTGTAATTTATCCCGTGTTTTCCATAGATTTCTTTACAGTTTACCAGTAAAAAGGGCGGAAATCCAAACCCTTAAAGATAAAATGCTAGGTTGAGAAACTTTTAATACTCTGCTTACCTACCAATTTTTCATGGGTAGAATTAATAGTTTTGAAACAAGAGACATAGAACTTTGTTCTTGGATGATACATGATATTAAAGTATTCTCTGTTTAAAAGAAATATTCCCTCCTTCACTTTGACTTCTGTGAACCCAACTACTATACTTGCAAATGGTGGTCTGTAAACATAAACTTGTGGTTTATTAATAAATCATAATTAAACAACATTGCTTAGCACAATATGTGAATCAATCCAATAGTAGCATCTTCAAATGTGTTGCTTAATTTTTTCCCTTACTATCAAGGGTGACCATGTCTTAAAAAGGAAGTTAAAAGTTTATTGTTTCTAGCAGGTATTGCTCTGAGTTTTAGACTTTTTTTCTGTACATATCTACAGTACCTTCGTGTTAGGCATCCTTAGAAGAGATTCATGTATTCTCAGATTAAGTTTTCATTGTAGCAATGCTTGGCTTAGTTCATGAAGTTTCATTGGAATACAGGTGTCATAGATTTTCATTCTAGCCACTACATTTTTCAAGTCTTTTTCAAGTTCCTGGAAGGAAGGCAAGTTGAACAGTGGTTTGAATGATCCTACTGGGCCATTCAATTAAAGAAGTCTACAATTGGGATCATATATGATACATTAATAAGGCAGAATGATTGAGTTCACGCTAACAAAAATAAAATACGTCATAAAACAGGCTATTGTAATGTGTGAACTCTTATATTTTTAACTAAGGGAGTACCTTAAATAGGTAGATAGAACTAGTTAAGAAAATACCTTGAGGAAAACATACAATGTTAATTAAAATGACTTCGGTTGGGTGACAAGCAAATATTTCTCTTGCATAAGTCTGCTACAAAACACAAAGGCTCAGCCATCATTTGTTGGTAGCTCTTTACATCTTGAATTCTTGCATGACATTTTATTTTGACTTTTTTTTTCAATTCATCACCTTGCATTTCACTGTTTTTCCTATGGAAATGGGTGCACATAATTACATTAGAAGGAATTAATTGCTTCTCCCTTTCTGCAGTCTAATTTTGAAAAATTAACCAAACACAAAATATTTTCCTAACACGTGTATGATTCTACAAAAAATAGCATATTGAAGGAAGCAAAGGTTCTGAATACCTTAAAATCTACTTATTTTTTTTTTCTCTTAGGTGAAGTTTGAAAATGGAGTATTGCTCCTTAGTACACACAGATTGATCTGGAGAGATCAGAAAAATCATGTAAGTAGATTTATTCTGGCATATGTAATTTTCCTGTAGTATATGATAAAGTTTGATTGATAATTGTATGGGCAAAATAAGTCATTATGTCCAACTTCATGTTTTTCAGTTTGTTATATTAAAAAAATATAGAAGTTTTATAGCAAGCAGAGAAAGCTCAGAAATTAATGAGTGTGATTTATTTGGACCATTCAAATAAATTCTCAAAGCAGCTGTGGATTATCCTACATAAAAGCTCTTCTCTGAGGGACTAGGACCAGAAAACAAAAAATATTTCTAGCAAAGAAAGACCGGCGTAGGGCCAGACATTCCCCAAAAGACCAATAGTTTTTACTATTGGTTTGCATGATATTTTATTGGGAGATTCTGCTTCAGTTGTTTGGTAGGTACTCTCCCCCATTGGTACCTCCCTCATTGGGAGGAGAGTTAGGACTTGGTCTCTCATAATTCAAGGAATAAAGAATACAAAAGCCTCTAAAAGGCCATATCTGCTTATCCCCAAGAAGTTTGTATATAGATCAATATTGCTAAGGTTTGTTAGCTCAGGAATCCCATGCAAAATTTGGAGAAGCCATATATTATTTTATAACTTCTGTGACAGGAGTCATTTATTTCTGTGAATTGGTTTCTGTTTATGGAATGAAGGGGAGTAATTCCTTCCTTTCTTACAGTTCCTATGCATTCTCACCATTGGCTCTGGAGGGTCCCTCAACTTACCACAGTAGATGTTGAAATGTTGACTTCAGGGGAAAGCTGGTAAAATAATAAGAGTTAGTTTGGTGATTAACTAGTATTGGGAAACCATCCTCAGCTCCAGAAGCTCACAGAATGTGTTTGAGCCGGTCAGTCTCTCTTACCACAAAGCAAAGGTGGTATTCAGCAGGTTCTGACCAGTTCTGAAGAACCGGTAGTGGAAATTTTGAGTAGTTCAGAGAACTGGCAAATACCACTTCTGACTGGAGATTTTACAGTATCCCCTGCCACGCCCACCAAGCCACGCCCACAGAACCGGTAGTAAAAAACATTGAATCCCACCACTGCGACAAAGGGTTGCTGCTGTGAGAAAACAAGGGAAAAGGTCTACCTCTACGTGCCACCTTCAGCTCTTTGCACTCATATTCTTGTCGGAAGTGCCTAAGGCGCTTCCGGGTTGAAAAGATTAGCCAGTAATATGACTGTTGCCTGGCGATGCCTGGTTTCATGTCTCCATTAATGTGTCCACTGAAGTGGTACCTATCTACTTGTGGTTATTCGATTTCAAACTGCTAGGTGGAGAGGCGCTGGAGCAAATGAAGGGAGCTTATCCCGCCACGCGACAGCAATCTGGTCTCGAAAGTGGGCTTACTAATCATTAGCCGAACGTCCTAACCTTGTGAGCCATCATGCTCCCCACCTTGAGCTCTTGAATGAATGGGAGGACATTTATCTAACAAATAATTTTAAAAATGTGCTGAGTGAATACCATCTGCATGAGTAACTTTGGATTTCATTCCCTATGTTTACTGGGAAGCAAATCCTTTCAGACCTTCTTCCAAGTACCTGCATGCAGTTGTAAACCGAATTTGAGTGCAAAAATATGCATGCGCCTGATCATTTATTTAGTTATTTGACCTGCTCAGCTTTATTACTGAGAATTCAGTGAACATTTCAAAAATATATTAATAATTAATGAAATACTGTAAACTTTGTAACCTGTATTCTAAGTACTTTCAGTCTAAGCTGTTGAAATAACTGTGTCCAAAAAGTCCTATGATCAATTGGTAAGGCTTACTTATTAAAATCAACCTGTTGCTTTTTATTATTAAAGTTATCAAATAATATAATAGTAACACTACCTTCCAAAGGAATCTGGTAAAGGAATCTCAGTTTGTTTTTTGAATGTCCAAAAGAGAATAGTCCGCAAAGAAGATTTCATGTTACTAGAAGTTGCTTTACCAACCAGGTTTAAGGATACTGTTATCTTTTATGATTATAGCTCCTTATATCTATCCAAGTGACAATTACTACAAAACAAATTGGGCCTAATAAGCCAGCATACACCAAGGATCATCCTGATATATGACTGGATCATTTTCAGGATTTGTTCATAATCTTGATTATTCTCTCTTATGCTCTAGACCAGTCAGCAAGTGCTCCCCCGTTATTTAAGCTTCTATCCCTTCTTTCCATGTTATAAATATAGTAATTATATTTATAAATGTATTATTGTCCTCTTCAACAAATAGATTAATGGAAATCAGGAATCCAATGTTTTTTCTTCTATGAATGCTAAAGAAGTACTGAAAAGTTTAATCGCCATGAAAACTGAAATTGGTGATCTTGTTATATCCCAGATATTTGCCATAATTTGCAGTTCCATCTTATTCAGGACTACTCAGTTGTAAGCCCAGTGAGTTCACTGAGTCTTACTCTGCATTGCAGCAGGTAGTAGCAACAATAAGTTCATATTCTCTTACAATTTAGTTATTGAAGGGCCTTCCAAACTGCAATGAACAGATTATGTATTTACTACATTTATATGTTCACTATGTGTTTAAGATCACCCTTTGTTCTGTGAAGAACATTTCATGATGTCTATAAGTACAAGTAGTCTTTGACTTATGGCAATTGAGTGCAAAATTTCTGTTGTTAAGTGAAACATTTAAGTGAACTTTGCCCCATTTTGTGTCCTTTCTTGCCATACTTGTTAAGTGAATCACTGTAGTTAAATTAGTAGTATGGTTGTTAAGTAAATCTGGCTTCCCCATTGACTTTGCTTGTCAGAAGGTCGCAAAAGGGGATCACACGACTGTGGGACATTGCAGTCGTCATAAATACAAGTCTCTTGCCAAGTGTCTGAATTTCAATCACATGACCACGGGGATTGCTTCAATGATCGTGTGAAAAACAAGTCGTAAGTCCCTTTTTTCAGTGCCAGTCACTTTGAACGGTCACTAAATGAACTGTTGTAAGTCAAGGACTACCTGTAAAATATTGATGTCAGTATTGCTGCTGAGTAGCTATCACCTGTATCACAAGGCATCAGATGAACAGATGAAAAGGAGGAACCTGCTAGAGCATGTTTTTCCCAGTTGCTTTCTAGATCTTCTGGGGTCCACACTCCCCAATTTCTCAGGCAACATAGAAGAAAATAGGAAGAAAGAGATTGCAGATGTTCTTCGGGTTCATAAACGGGTTCATATAAGCTTTCTTTAAAATTGCCAAGCAAAAAAAATATTTTACTGGCTATTAGTTTATGCTATTGATTAATATTTATGCATAAAGATACCATGTAATTAAATGTATATTTGATGACAGACCCTGTTGTTGGAACAATGTTAGCTATTTACAGTTTATTAGAAGAAATGCTGTGTTCCACCAAATATGTCTTTGCTTTACCCTTTGTTTCTTATTGCAGGAATGCTGTATGGCTATTCCTCTTTCCCAAATTATCTTCATTGAAGAGCAAGCAGCAGGGATAGGAAAAAGGTAAAATATCATCAACACAAATCTTCGAAGAGCGCTAAAGATTTATTGGCCATTGCTGTATCTTCCTATGCAGCTATTCAGTCATTTTTTCCCCGGAACAGATATATTGTAGGGAAAAGTGGAAAGAATATGTCACCTTGACCTTTGAACTCAAGACAGGGTGTAAATTAAATATTTGTCTCCTATCAACTTTATAACTATTTTACAGGAACTGTATACTCAATACCATCTGATAATTGGCATAATTTCAGAGGCTCATTTGTGTCTTATTTTGACCAAAAATTATGTATCTGTCCCAAATGTTCCACTAAATATGGTATATTCAAAGTGTAGAATGTTTAACTGATGTTTAAAAATGCAAAATGATTTAAAGCTTATGGAAACTTTCTCTTCCCCCACTTATTTTTGATTTGCTTTAAATGAAAGAATCTGAATTAAAAAAAATTAACAATGCTTTTTGATTTTAGGAATTTACTTTTTAACAACAAAAAATTCATTTCCTCCTCCTATTTTTTGTATTTTTAGTGCCAAAATAGTTGTACATCTTCATTCAGTAGGTTCCAATAAGGATCCTGGTCCATTCCAGACTAGTAAATACTCATATATCAAGCTTTCTTTCAAGGAACATGGTCAGATTGAGGTAGGTATGCTTTCTAAATGACTGTTGTATAAAAATAACAGGAATAATTTTTAGTGTGGTTAAAAGATTCTTTTAAGGAGAGAAAAGGGATTTTATTATACAGAATTCCAAGATTATTATTATAATGGTTTGTCGTGCAGTCAGCCAGATTGTTCAGACTGGATTTGACATTTTTATTCACCTATTGAGTTTTTCCCAAAGTCCTGGAATAGGCAGATGTTGATGTTTGATGGTGTTAGAAGTATCATCACAGGATGATACTAAGCTGTTCTTAGTAAAGCTGCCTTTTACAATTGTTCATTTTTTGACATTATGGCCACATAGTTCTTCAGGAGGCTTACGGAAGAAATGTCTCAGCGCAGATGGGAGAACATGCCAGCTTCTCAAACCATAGATGTTGACAAGGCTTCACAGGTATGTATGTATGCAGTTTCTAATCTTTGGATATCTCATTTCTAAGTAAGAATGGTATTTAACACATGATAGAGAAAACATCAAAGAGGAAGAAGCTGCGTAGGAGCATAGTATGTGATATATATTGGATAAATATAATTGCAAGTGAACCTCTTTAAAAATGATATAAAATATATAACTGGGTCTTTATTTCATAAAGAGGTACACGTTGCATAGTTGATAACTTTTAGGAAAACATCATAATTTAGAATGCCAATATCATTTGGTGTGCTGAGAAAGATTCTAAGAAATGATACCCTGACTTTATTTAGATAGTGAATTGTGATTACAGTGAAACCTGGTTTAGCAGATTTTGAATGCAACAGACAAATCTCCATTGTATTTCTGTCATTTTACAAAATTGCATAATGGATTACTCTAATAACCATTTTAATTTAACAAGTAATCAGGAATGATTGACATCCATTTTCCCCAGGTGTTCTGTTAAATCAAGGTTTCACATGTACCTACATGAGCCTTAACCTCATCAGTTCGTCTCTTTCACTAGCACAGCCACAAGGAAATAGGGAAATATGGCTTCCCTTTTTAACTACCTGGAATGTACCTTTATCTCTGAATCCAGCAATTTGTGCTTTTTCTTAACAGTGATTTCCTGAACTTTAAAATACAGTTTATGCAGTTTATATCAATAATATACACATGCAATTAACCCCTTTTGACATTAAAGGGAAGACATCTAATCTGCATTGGATAATGAATGGGAGGTGACAAGTCCATGCCCTGTGCACATTCACTGTATTCATATATTGCTGAAAGAGCCAGTATGGTCTAGTGCAGGGGTCCCCAACCACCGGGCCGCGGACCGGTACTGGTCCGTGGATCATTTGGTACCGGGCCGCAAAGAAAATAAAAATAAAATAAAAATGGCGGCTTTCTTCGCCTTCGATGAATGCTGCTGGGATCAGGGATCAAGGACACAAATGAAAGAAGGGGAGGGAGGAAGCAACCAAAGCCTGTCCTGCTCTCCGGCTCAGCGGCTTCGGTTTCCTCCCGCCTCGTTCCTCTCTCAATCGCTCTCTCGCTCCTCCACCAGCCCGGGAAGAAACTGCTTCAAAGAAGACAGCAGGGTGGCTTTTCCTGTCGGCGCAGCTCCTCCGAAGTGCCCGTTCACCCCCACCCTGCTGCCTGCGGTTCAATCCAGTGCTCCGTTCTGCCTGCCTGCCTGCCTTCGTTTCTGGTTGTTTCGGAGTAGCTTTGGCTGAGAATAATAACTATTTGCCTCTTTTACTCAGCCGAAGCTGCTCCGAAACAACCAGAAACGAAGGCAGGCAGGCAGGTAGGCAGAACGGAGCACTGGATTGAACCGCGGGCGGCGGGGTGGGGGTGAATGGGCGCTTTGGAGGAGCTGCGCCGACAGGAAAAGCCACCCTGCCGTCTTCTTTGAAGCAGTTTCTTCCTGGGCTGGTGGAGGAGCGAGAGAGCGACAGAGAGGAACGAGGCAGACACCTGAGGGATAAGGCTGAGGGAGGGAGGGAGACACCTGAGGGATGAGGCTGAGGGAGGCAGGGCTGAGAGGCGGGGCTTCTCAGCCATCCTGCAGGGACTTGTCCTGAGCCTCCCTGAACTTGGTGGTTTGCTGGCAGACGTTTTATTACCCGACTAGGTAACAACATCAGATGTTATCTAGTCAGGTAATGAAGCGTCTGCAAGCAAACCACCAAACTCGGACTCCTCCCCCTCCCCCCCTCCTTGAAAAAGTGTTTCTGTGTGAAACTGGTCCCTGGTACAAAAAAGGTTGGGGACCACTGGTCTAGTGGTTAAGGCATCAGGCTAGAAAACAGGAGGCCATGAGTTCAAGTCCCACCTTGGCCATGAAAGCTAGTTACATCACTTTGGGCCAGTCCTCTCTCTCAGCCCAACTCACCTCAGAATGTGAAAAGAAAAGGTTTGCCCTAGAGCAGGGCTGTCAAACTCGCAGTCTGGGGGCAAATGCGTCATGCACTGCCGATGCCCATGCCCAGTTTAGTGAAGGGGGGAAAAAGTCCTGATATGTCATGTGATGCTGCTATGACGATGTGAGTTTGATAACCCTGCCCTAGAGCAAAAACAATTGTATTGATTTAATTATTTATTTATAAATAACAAATCATCATATAGAAAACTTGATTGGTTGGTTTATTTTCTCTAATGATGTTGTGAGTACTTTCTTTTCCTATGTATGGTATCTTTTTGTACCCTACCTAGTTCACAGATACAAGATAAAGAAGGCAAAACAAACTAGAAAACAGTTACTATTATTTTCTTACCTGTCAGCAAAAATACTGTATGTTTTTTCCTGTCTTCTTCAAACCAAACCTGTTTTGTTGGATACAAAAGCGGTCACTGTGTAATACTGCTTCTAAATGCAGCTATCAATGTTTGCTGCATCTTTCCTTGCATTGCTTTTCCATCATAATGTGTTTATGTTATATGATTCAGAGTGGAAGAATAAGAGCTGCAGGAATTGTTGGCATTGAGAGGAAATTAGAAGAAAGAAGAAAAGAGATGGATAAAAATATTTCTGAGGCAAGTCATTTTCTTCAGAACGAGCATAAATCATTTATACTTTTACGATTTTAAGGGGACCAAATTACATTCATGTTTTGGAGCAGGGGACATTTTCCAATACCAAATGTTTTGTCAAGGTTAGGAAAACCAAGGACTATCACTATTTGGGCAGGCAAAAAGAATGGAAATAGAGAACTCTATAAACCTGAGGAGTTCCTATTGTGAAAAGCTGCTTTTTTAATTTGTATCTTTTGTAAGTTTATTCTCTTTTTTCTTCTGTACTTTTGGTTATCTTATTTTTGGATGTTCAGTTTGGGGAGAATAAATCTCTGTGGAGAATGATTGTCACTGGAAAATGTTACTTTATTATTGGATATATTTCTAGTCATGATTCAGGATTATGTACATGTTTTGTTCAGCATGGATTATGTTCTTTATCCAGTTAAAATGCAGATGTTTGCTTATGTCTTCAGCAATAGTTTGGCCTACTTCCTGCATCTGCCAGTTATTGTTTTTTTTTTAAAGTGATTCAGTTAGTTATTTGTCTCAGGAAGTTCCTTTCAGGTGTGCATACATTTACTTTGTAAAGTCTAAATCACTTGGTAGAAGGATTATTTAAAAAACACTACCTTTTGATTTATACTATTTTTTCTTTTATTGTTAAGAAATTGGTTTATGTTGTTGGGAGCAAAGCTAAATATGCAGTTTTTAATTAGAATGGTGAATTTTGCAAATATATGTAAAACTACATAGCACCATGCCCTAATAAATTCTTACAAATTTTCCTAGTGTTAATTTACTTTTAACTTGTAAAATATGTATAATTACATGCGAGATAAGAATATTCTCGTTTAGAGTAACTATTTACTTTCAAACCATGTTTAAAATGACTTGCTAGAAGATCGGAGGCTTTTTAAAGCTAAGTCTCTAATATGCTTTTATAGTCAGAAATAAATCCATTTAGATTACAAAGCAGAAGCATGTATATAATTATTTATGTATTAAAATTATTTGGTACTTGAATTCCAAAAATGGCAACCATTTTTTTTTAGTTTTTGTTTTTAATTTGGGAGGAAAGTTAATGGTGAAATTACAGTTGTGATGCAATTGCATTTTATTGCAATATGAAGAAATTATGTATTACTAAATCAGTTTATTATTTCAGGCTTTTGAAGACCTCAGTAAGCTGATGGAAAAGGTAATACCTCCACTTTATTAGTAAGCATGCTGATTAATTGGGGACTGAAGAAACTAATTTTATTCAACAGAATAAAATAGGGGATGGAAGTTCTGGGATTCAGCTATATAGAAGTATTAATTGTGTGTGTGTGTGTGTGTGTGTGTGTGTATATATAAAACATGCACATACTGTAAATAAAACTGCATTATTTGAATCATCATAGCCTAATGATTAATTGTGAAGTTATCATATGAACTAAATAAAGTGAAATATTATTGACAGTCTGTCTAGATGGTAGATATTTGTCTTAATACAGCAAGCTGCAATTTACTCCAACTCAATAACACCTAACTAGCTTGTGAAGGAAGAGAAATGCCAGCCAAACCTAACCCAAGAACACTCTTTCCTAGCTTTGACCGGCTGAACAGTTCAGCAACTCAAACTTGTTCTGTGAAGAGTGATCTCACAATAAAGGAGCAAGATTGTGTTCTATCATGATTTTTTTTGTGTGTGTGTCTTATAGGCAAAGGAAATGGTGGAATTGTCCAAATCAATTGCTAGCAAGATCAGAGAAAAGCAGGGTGACATCACTGAAGATGAGGTCAGCTAATATTCTGCTAAATTGTGATTCCTTCATCATTCGAAGTGGTAAAACAGCTCATTTTTCAATAAACTGTGATTTGTTCAGTGAATATTAGTAAACAAGTATTAACAAGGTAAACAAGATTAATGTTATATAAATATAGCCAATATAGTGGGGTGCCATGCTCACAATATGGTTGCATGATATTACAAGTGGGGACTTATCAAAATTCCATTTCATTCCATTTCTATACTTTATCTTACCCTTGAGTTGAAATCTCTTTTCCGCCATCTCAATCTCAATAAACAGTGATATGAGACTCCCATATCACTAAGGGAAGCTTCTCAAAAGAGAACATCCTCATGGAAAATCTACCAATCCACTGTGTGGATTAGTCAGTTTCCTCAAATCTGTTTATCAGAAAGTAAGCGACAAAAAAATGATGGGATCCTGCTACATTTTTTTCAAGTATGCCAGGTGTATATCATGACCATGTGAGGCTGAGAAACCTTTTTTTCCTTCTTTCCTTCCTCCTTCCTTTTGTTCTTCTGTAGGGGGACATCATTCTTTTGTTTTGAATTTTCCCTCTTTTGTGCGTTGGGTATATTAGGATCTTCTTCCAAGTTCACATAGTCTATTTTAATTAATTACTGTTTGATAAAAAATCTGGTATTTTCAATTTTAATTTGTCATTTTTTAGACAATAAGATTCAAATCCTATTTGTTGAGTATGGGCATTGCCAATCCAGTTACCCGGGAAACCTATGGATCTGGCACTCATTACCATATGCAACTGGCAAAACAATTGGCTGGAATTTTACAGGCACCTTTAGAGGTAAAGTATTTAATTGTCTTTTATGTTTTTTTTTTAATGTGCAGCCTTATATACCAGCACATTGTCCCTTTAGCTAAACTTAAAAGGCCAAGGAAGTCAAATCTACTTAGCACGTAAATCAGAGAACATTAGGAAATCCTGGGGTTGTAGTCTAGATACAGAATTTGAAAAAGGAAATCTTGGAAAATCACTACTGAACTGTTGTCAAAAATATTAAGTTAACATATTTGATTCCAAGGGAGTCTTTTTACACATTATCCATAAATGATCCTGAATCTACAGATCTCAGTTCCTCTACTATAATTCTTTGTTTACTTTTCTCATGATAGAGAAAAAAATAATAGTTTACCTAATAAAATAAATATAGTGCTTTATGAAATCAGAACTGTTTATAAATAAATCCATTAAAATACATATAGTCCTCATTTAGCCACCACAATTGAGATTAACAACTTGGTCACTAAGCGATATGGTCATTAAATGGAACACCACTTGACTGCCACTGTGCTTCGAATTTTCCATCAGCTTTCCTTTTTCCCCACTCCTGCATCCTTTGGGATGCTCATCCCAGTGCTGGAATAATCAACAAGAAGAGAAATAAAGTTTGTATTTCCACTCATTTGAGGAAAAGGGATTACAAGACAGGAAGCAAGCAGACAACGGGAAAGGAATATGCTAGTACCAGCTGTTTGCCTGGTGGCGTTCCTGGCTCCCAATCCTGAGGCAGACAAAAACCAAGGTGTAAACATAATTAAAACATTTTCAGTTTCAAGCAGCATCTGCAAGCCAGCTAATTAAGACCACAGAGCTGAGCTTCTTGACTTGGGGTGAGTGCTTTTGGGGAAGCCCTGTAGATAAAAACTCTGCACTGAAAAACAGCTCCAAAGGGGGAGCAATTTCTCTATTCTATGAGGGTGGGGAGAAAAAAATGAAGTCAGGTCAAAGACATCAAGTTCTGACTTTAAAGACAAACAAATCACTGAGAATGACACTTTAAAGACTGTAAGTGCAGACATGGGGCACCAAGTCACTTCATCCTCACCATCGTAACTTCAATCACTGCCTAACGCACTCACAAAGCAAGATCTACTTTACAGGGGGGGAAAATCCAAGATTACTCATACAATAGCACAAAGAGTAGAATAAAAGAAATGTAAAACCAGGCAGGTAGAAACTAAAACTCAGTAAAATAAAAATAAAAACATGAAATAGAGAAGACTAAAAGTAACTAAGAGGGATTTCTTCAACTTGAGCATCATATAGATGGAGAGAGAAAGAAGAAAGAAAAGGGAAAGAATGAATAAGAGAGAAAGGAAGAAAAGGGATAGACAAAGAAAGACAGGATGGAAGGGAGACAAAGGAGGGAGAGAGGAGAAAGTGAATGAGATATATGAATGAATGGATGAATAGATAGATACATGGAAGGAGGGAGGGAGGGAGAAAAAAAGGAGAGGAAGGAAAGATACAAACCCTGGCTTCAGAAGACTCTTTGAAACAGCACAGCAATCTAGGGCTGGAAGAGATCTTGGAGATCATCTTCTAGTCCAAGAGTCTTCAAACTTGGCAAGTTTAAGACTTGTGGACTTCAACTCCCAGAATTCCTGAGCTAACATGACTGGAGGAGGAATTCTGGGAGCTGAAGTCCACAAGTCTTAAAGCTGTCAAGTTTGAAGACCTCTGATATAGAATATTGAATTGAATTGTACTGAACTGAACTGAACTTTATTTGGCAAAGTGTGATTCGACACACAAGGAATTTGTCTCCGGTACAGAAGTGCTCATTAAAATTATTGTAGCATAAATGTTATATTTGGATGCCATGGAATAAAGAAGACATTCTGAAAGATAATTGCAGGACAATGTGGTTATCCATACCCATGCATGCTAAGAGGAGAGATATTTGAATGCATGGCAAATAAAGTAATACAAGTTCTGCAAAAATTCAATTCAGAGGCATTTCAGAATAAATATTGGTCATGTTTCTATTTTTCGCTTCACATCTTTATATTACTAACCCTTGATTCCCACAATGTTTAACTGGGTGGAATGGTACACCATAGGCAAAACGTTTTGAGCCAAGTTCCTCAAATGAGCTAACTTGCAGAATGCATCCAAATCCAGGATTTATGACTCCCATAAAATTGAAATTTGGCAAATTTTATAAACATTTTAATGACATAAAAGTTACCATAGAACAGTTTATGGCATAATTCAAAATGTCACAAAACATTTCCTGTGCTGATGTTTGATTGTGCTATATTGTTTAATGTGGGCTGTTTTCAAGGCAGATACATTTGAATGTATCCCAGCTTTTCCAGTAAAGGAAGTTCATTAGAAACACTCACATTCTTGGAAGCATTGAGAAATCTGATAAGGAAATTACCTCTGAGAGGATGACCCAGGGAGTCACAGGTTATCTAGTATCTTGTTAAAAGCTGTAACTCTTCGAAAAGAGATTATTGATTTGAGGTATATTTTTGGCAATGTTAGGTATCACTGGAAAAAAACGACTGGAATGACACATTTATGGCTCTGTTGAATGTTCTGGTACCACTGTCCTCTTTACCGCAGTCTTGCACCTGTTGGTTTTGGCATCAGGTATATTGCTGCTGTGAAGCTACATCTGTTTGGATTATAACTTCAGCACCATTTTTATTTTTCCAGTGTTCTCTCTGGAAATATTGATATTGTCAGATGGCCAGATTTGGTTTGGGATAGCAGAATTTGTGTTTTAAGAGCTGTTCTTAAATCAACAGGAACGGGGAGGAATAATGTCCCTCACAGAAGTTTATTGTCTGGTGAATCGTGCTCGTGGCCTAGAGGTAAGGAATGCATTGTCTTCTGCGCTTTAACAAAACTATTTGAGCTTAACTAAAGATGCCAAGGAATCTTTCTGGGATAATTGCTGATGGCAAATACTGGAACTTAATCATTATTTTTGCTATTGGTCAATAACATAAAGATTGTCCTAGCACAATAAGCCATCTGGCAATGCATTAGAAATCAGTAGAATGAAAACAAACACCTAGATTGCCATTTTTAAGGCCACAACTCTGTTCAAATTTACCTGAAATGAAATTCTATTAAACTCACGAGGATTATTATTAGGAAACAAGCAAACATATACTGTTAAAGTATAAGGAGGATCCTATGGTCAAAAAAAGTCAGTTTTGTAAAATGAAAGCCAGAAAAAGATGTGTCTGCTGATTGTTAATGTGTGTGTGTGCGTGTGTGTGTTAATACACAGAGACTGCTGCTTTGAGAGCCTGGGACTGTTGATAGACTAAAATAGTTAAAGGGTGTGCACAGACTTGGTTAGAAGATGTAAACATCTCATACAAACCTAGTTGAAACTAGAATATCTGCAAGGCTTTCTACTACAAATCAGCTAGCTCCAAGGAATCCTCCATTGCCAGCATCTTGCTGTGGAATTGCCAAATGTGCAGGAGGAGAGATGGATTCCAGCTATTGTGCATTTTGAGGCTAGCACGTTTGAAACAAAGAAGTAGATGGTGGCAAAATCTGTTTTCCACTGTTCTTTTCAGAGGCTCAGTGACATGGTGACAAGGTAGGAGAGACTTCCCCAATCTGGTGCTGGCCAACTGCATCAGTTTTTAATGTCTATTCTCACAACTAGCTGATAGTAGAGACTGAAAGACTGTGTTATGTAATCCAACACACATCATGTTAAAAGAACGACAATGAAGCATTCCAAAAAGACAAATATGCATGTCTTCAGCAAGTATGAATTGTCTGAATGTATGTTATTCTTCATTCTTTTAAGTGTCACACATTCATGGTTTTTTTAAAGAAAGAATGGGGTTTATAGTATATGACAACATTACTCAAATTGTAATCATTGTCCCTTAATTGCTCTTTAAATCTCACAAAGGAATGCAAAAGCCTTGTTAGGGATATCCTAAATGTGGAAGTGTGATTATTATAAGATTAAGCATATGTATATTTTCTCATTAGTTGCTTTCCCCTGAAGATCTAGTAAATGCTTGTAAGATGTTGGAATCACTAAAGTTACCTCTAAGGTAAGAAGTCTTCAGATTGTAATGGGGTGCAAGGGAAATCTCTCAAAAGGTGGGATGGGGCTCAGTCCTTTCCCTTCCTTGTATTTAGCGATAGCACTTAGACTTATACACCGCTTCATAGTGCTTTACAGCCCTCTAAAAGCAGTTTACAGAGTCAGCCTATTGCCCCCAACAATCTGGGTCCTCATTTTACTGGCCTTGGATGGATGGATGGATAGATGGCTGAGTCAACCTTGAGCAGGTCAGGATTGAACTGCTGGCAATGGGCAGAATTAACCTGCAATACTGCATTCTAACCACCAGGGCTCTATTTACTTGTTTGTTAGATTTATATCCTGCCCTTTGTTCAGGATCTCCAGGTGCCCATATAGATAGAACCTTTATTTGATGTGTTTTTCAGATCCTTATAAAACCTATGTGGAGAAAAATGAGATTCAGAATTAGGGAGCGGCAAAAAGCAAAACCTAAATATATGTGTGGAGTTTTCTCATCATATGAAAATGTCCATATTATAATCGGATATTATTCTGATAAAACTCCATGCTGCTTTCTCATGCATTTATGGAGTGTAGAAATCATACTGGACTGAACTTTTCACGTCTTCATCCACCTTGTAATGTCTGTCACAGTACTCTGACACATGCCATTACATTATACCAAGTTGTTATCACTTTGTCCCCATATGTAGAAAAAGCTTTGCTAACAGAAATGTCTTTGTCAGACTCTTAAAGGCACAGGAATAAAGATGGTTTTTAAAAGTTGACAACTATGTTCCGGACTAATGGAATGGAAATACTACAGATTTGATTTGATTTCTTTGCCAAACACACACACGAGGAAAGAGTTATGTGACATTTGGATTGAGACAAAAGCTTACACATAGAGAGGTTGTGGATCAAGCGGAGTGTGCAAGTCATGGAGATCTTACAGATGCACAGTGTGGAAAAGACATTGGGGAAAGTGGATAAATAAAGAACATTTCAGGAACAGGAAAGAGGAAATGTGGAATTGCAAAGAAGGACCTAGTCCTAGTAAATGAGGAGGGGCTCTGGGAAAAAATCCTCACTGTTCTTCAGATCAAAGCAGGCTGCATACAATGAGGAAGGAGGAGGAGTTTGGGAAAGGCTAATTAAAACGGCTAAAGAAAGCAAGACAAAATAACCCATGGTAGGAAAACAGGAACTTGAGGAAACCATGGAGGATGGAGATAGGAGAAAAAGCAGAGCAAAGAAAAAAAACCTAGTAGGGACACTCCCCATTTGCAAGAAAGGAGCTCAGCAGGCATCAGTCTATGGATGGCAACTAACTTTTAAGTTGTGATCATACAAGATCAGTTACAAACTTGGGCGCTGCCTTTATGCAACATGCTAAACCTGGTCAATTTTTTCAGTGTATTAATGTGGAATCAGCTTACAGTTCTGTTTAAACCAAGAAGACGGGTTAATTTGGTATCCAGGTTTAACCTATTGTGTAACTGAAGCTGCAGAACTGCTAGGACATCTGCCTCTTAATCCTGATATGGAAATATTCTGTTTCATTGTGTCCTAAGACAAACAGAGGGTACCAAAACAGAGTATTAGAGCCATGGTGGCATAGTGGTTATAGAATGCAGTATTGTAGACTAACTCTTCTCACTGCCAGCAGTTCAATCCTAATGGGGTTCAACGTTGACTCAGCCTTCCACCCTTCCAAGGTCGGTAAAATGAGGGTCCAGGTTGTTGGGGGCAATAGGCTGACTCTGTAAACAGTTTAGAGAGAGCTGTAAAGCACTGTGAAGTGTTATATAAAGCTTATTGCTATTGCTATTGGGCATCATATTGGTGGGTAGTCCAACTCTTTGGTGACTGATTAGAGCTCAGATTTGTGCTTTTCTTTCTTTTTGGGATTTAGATTACGAATATTTGACAGTGGCGTTATGGTGATTGAACTCCTATCACATAATGAAGAAGAAATGGTGGCTTCTGCTTTAGAGACAGTATGTATTTTAAGGGAAGAGGCATATTGTTGTTGCCTAGCCTGGCATCTAGATGGGCTTCTTCCTTTTGCTTATTATCTTTTGTTAAGCACACATCCGTAGACACCCACACATTTAAACCTGCCAGGAGAAAAGACATCTATCTGGTTTGGGCTCAGTATATTTAACTTTAATGTTGACCGATTCCCCTCTATCGGCATATATTATTTCCTATCTTTATTGAAACAGGATACTTGTACTGCAAATACAATGTTTTAACCATTGTTTTCAACCTAGACTATTCATCATGGAAATAGTTGTTTGGAAAACCTTTAAATTCATTCTAAATCCCGTTTTTAAATATTAGACGTCTTTGTTTTTGCCTTACTTTTTAAAATAATAAATGAATCTGTTAAATTAAATTGCAAAGCAGGAAAGGCCTGGTAATTGACCCAAAGTTTAGGGGCACAGGCCTAGCTTCAAAGGGTTTCCTGTTTCTGGGAGTAGGAATAAACTTTATGTGAAAAAAAAGGATGGTCATTTCACATGTAATGAAGACAAGCTTGATATTTATCAAATTAGTTACCCTTTGCTACCCCTCCTTCTGCCGACAACTCGATTATATAGTATATGGGTCCATAGGAGCTCTCTCTGATAAACAGAACTGCTTTGTGCCACATATTGTATTCATTTTGGGTGTTGCATTGCATCATGTATATGTAGTCTTTGACTCACAACCACAATTGAAACCAAAATTTCTGTTGCTAAGTGAGGAATTTGTTAAGTGAGTTTGGCCGCTTTTTATGACTTTTCTTGCCATAGTTCTTAAACTTAGTAACAGTTATTGAGTGACTCTGGCTTCCCCATTGACTTTGCTTGTCAGAAGGTCACAAAAGATTATCACATGATCCCAGGAGATTGCAATTGTCATAAATATGAATCGGTTGCCAAGCACCTGAATTTTGATCACATGACCATGGGGATACTTCAATGGTTGGAAGTGTGAAAAATGGTTATAAGTCATTTTTTTCAGGACCATTGTAACTTCAAACTGTCACTAAATGAGCTGTTGTAAATCGAGGACTGCCTGTATAGAAAAGAGGCATTGCTTGCATCAGAACATTGCAATTCTGATCTCTTCAATCTGAGCCCTTTCCCTCTCCATATATACTGTACTCCTGATATGGGACTATCACATTGACTCACCGTATTCTTGGGGAAGAGGATAAGAGAGAATTGTTTTCTCAGAACTCTCACGGTTTGTCATGGCCAGACAAAGATTGGGTTTCTCATGTAAATCCCACAGACAATTTCTATATGGGGAAAGCCCAACATATAAGCTTAAAAAATGTTCCACGTTTCCTTAGTCCACAACATGCTCTTCCTCTTAGATTTATAGCCTGAGTTCCACAGAACAGGCCAGTGTGCATGTCATGTTAAGTTATTCAGAGTCAAATCCACCTGGGAGAAGATGGCTGATAATGCATTAGCTTGATTAAGCAAGTTTAGCATGAAATGTGGTAAGCGATATACTGACTTTGCCCAGAGCAAGCTAGGTAACAATAAATTAGTTTAGTTTAGTTTATTGTCATTGCACCTCGTACAACGAAATCAAACACCACCTTCGGTGCACATCATGACCATGAAAATAAACACAAAATACACATCCTTCACACTCCACACATTGAATTGAAAACCCCCAACACCACACCAACACTGCACTATACACAAAATTCAAAAGAGCTACTGCCCTGGGATAGAAGCTGTTTTTCAGCCTATTTGTCCTTGTTTTTATTATTCTGTACCATCTGCCAGATGGTAATAGTTCAAAAAAAGGTTGCCCAGGATAAGACGGATCTTTGAGAACGTTTTGAACTTTTTTAAGGCAGCAGGAACTATAAAGCTCTTCCAAAGAGGGGAGAGGGCAAACAATGATCTTCTGGGCAATCAAGCTAACCCTCTGGAATGCTTTCCTATCTGCCACTGTGCAATTGGCAATAAACTTATTAACTTGTTATTAAAAATTATCAGATTATGATGTTTCAGGGATGGGGGGGAGTTGGATGGAACTACAGTCCTGTGTTTTCATACTAAGTTTTGCTAAGCAAACCATTGATGATTTGTGACCCTTAACCATTCAGAGGTGGAATTAATATGATGAGAATGTTTGCAAAGCCAGCTTCAGTATTATTCATAATTGCAATTACATACTCATGTGCAAGACTCATTCTTGTCTTTGTAAACATGTGCTAGTATCACTGTGGCCAACCAAAGCTTCCAGTCTTCTTCAGAAGGACCATTGAATTATGGGACTTCTCATTGCCTCACTCATTTTATCAAACTCTCCCAGGGCTTGGATTAATGGAAGACTAGCTTTTGGATTGATTGATTTCCCACCTAAAATCATCTAAGGCTTAAGGATACAGTCATTCAAATCAAATTCAAATCTTTATTGTCAGTGCACAACATGTGTACAATGAGATTGGCTCAGCCTCCCTTAGTGCACTCCCCCCAGCACAATACATCTCTCAGTGAAAAAAAAAAAAGAGAAAATCCCTAGCCCAGTGATCATACTAACAAACGCACAATCCTCCATACATATATGTGCATAACATAACATTATATTATATTGCACCAATGTGATCATGTTACACATTGCACCAGCCCTGTAAGTCTGTCATACTATGTAATTGTGGTGTTTATGTTGCATTCAGGAGTCTGATAGCCCATGGATAAAAGCTGTTTTCCAGCCTGTTTGTATGACTGGCTATGCTTCTATATCTCCTGCCTGATGGCAGGAGAATAAAGAAGTGTTGACCAGGGTGTGAGTCATCCCTGAGGATTTTCCTCACTCTTCTAAGGCAGCGAGCCCTAGCGATTTCATCTGGTGGTGTCAGGGGACAGCCCATGATGTGTTCATTACTTTCTGTAATATTTTTCTATTCGCGGCTATCAGGCCAGCATACCATACCCTAATGCAATAAGTGAGGACGCTTTCGATTGTGTACCAGTAAAAGGAGGTCATCAGTTGTTCCACCTTGTTTTTCCGCAAGACCCTGAGGAATAAGACCCATGACAGTGTCCTATATCTCTAAAAGCAGTGGTGCTTATTTCTAGTAGACAGTTACAGAACTGCCAGGTTTATTTTGGGGAACTCTGAATGAAAACTGAACGCATTTTATTTCCATCTTGATATAAAGTTTTCATGAAAAAAACGTGTGGAAGTTTTAACAGTTGCTCAGAATGGTAAAGCTGTTGAATCAAGGATAGTAGAAAAATAGATACTCACTATATAATATAAAAAACAGAAAAGATGGTAGCAAAGCATTGTAACATACAGACTATTAATCTCTGAACTTTTTCCCTCTTAGGTTTCTGAGAAGGGATCTCTTACTGCCGAAGAGTTTGCAAAGCTTGTAGGAATGTCTGTGCTTTTAGCCAAAGAAAGGTAAAACTCTTCCATATGTTCTGATTTTAATGACAGAATAAATTATACTTGAAGAATTATTTGATTATAATTTAAAAAATATTTTACTCATTTTTGCAGGTTGCTGTTAGCTGAAAAGATGGGCCAGCTTTGCAGAGATGATTCTGTAGAAGGCTTGAGATTCTATCCAAATTTATTTGTTACCCAAAGCTGATTATTCATTTTTTCTATTTTTATCTTATTTAAATATGTTTGCTAGATGCAGTCTGAAGAAAAGAATGTCAAGAGATATACCCATTTATACCATGGTTTAGCTAAATTGTAATGATGAACCAGTAATGCACCAGGAGGGAAGAAGGGATTAGCTATGTGTAGAAAGAGAATAACACCCCTAAAACCTTGTAGATATCATGAAACTGCAGCTATTTCAGATCTTCAAAGCAAATTGGACATGAAGGTCCGTTTAATGACTTTTTTCAAGAAGGAAGAAAGTGAAATGATTTTTAAAAAAACATGAGGGGAGGGTTAACTGTGGGCTATTTGCAAGGCTAGATAAATCAAGTAGTCTATTTCTCCCTCCATCCATCTTTTGCCATGGATTTGCATCTGCAACTTGAAATCAATAAAATATTAACAGGAGAAAAAATATTTCTAGAGCAATCTAATGCAAAATAATGTTAGAAATGTCCATATTTTAGGAACAAAACTTCCTTATCAACATTTGTTTGTAATTATTTTCAAAGGAAGAATGGATCAGAAAACTGTTTTGTGTATGGCTTCATGCTGAATGTTAAGACAAGGAGCGCTGTGAACTCAAATTTCCTTCCTTCCATTCTTCAGTTGTTGATTCTACAAAGTTTCTATTTTTGTCTCTCTGGCATAGCTGTGAAGGATATTCATCCTGAGTTCTTCTAAGCCAGAGGTTTTTTATGTTTCATCTTTATATTAAAAAATAAAGATGAAAGATTTATTCATCCTTTATCTTGGAAAAGTTCGCTGGTACTGTATCAGTTTTTATATGAAACAAGAAAACTTTGGTTTCACAAGTTATCTGTTATTTTTTTACTAAGATTATATCCTATTAAATACCAATAATCTCATTGCCCTGTTATTCTGTTTCTCTACCAGATCCACAGTTCACACTTGGCTAGCCAATAGTTTTTTTAGCATCAAGTGTCTAAAATATACAATAATACCAAAATAAGGTATTAAAGTTGTCAGTGTGGCTATTTGTATTCATAGAAATATTCATGAATGTTTATTCTGATAATAAAATTCAATTTAATTTTAAATGTGTAAACTAAAATACAAATACAAGGATTGTACTTTGTTACATTACATTTCTGACTATATTTGTATTTTCAGTTGAATTCATTTAAATTTTAAAACTTAGAGAATAACAGTCATTTTGCCAGTGCAATCTTTTTAAAAGTTGCTGTCATCTCCCATTTTGATTATTTGATGAAACTATATTTTTGTTGTACAATATGACAGCTGATTTTATACTTCTAATTTTTTGCTACTTTCAGATATTAAAGTGTATGAGAGGCATTCCTGCTAAGAAGGAACACACAGTATTTTTCTGTGACTATAGTTGGCAGCAGTTTCTGTCAATTTCAATAAATCTGTTTAAAGCAACCAGTGTTTATATTATAAGTGGTGTGCTTGTCAGGGAGTCTTCTGAATAAAATTTAGTTGGGTGGGCTCATTTGGAGATTAGTTGTCCATAACTGGGAAAAATACACTAAGTCTGTTAATTGTTCATGTCTTAATTTGCAAACAGAATCAGTTCCTTTGCTCTTGACATTTTTCTTTTCAAGAAACTACGTAAAGAAGTAGACCTCCCTCCCTTTCCTTGTGTGATTACTTTGAGGGAACGGTACTGATTATATGTCCTGTTATCGATACAGCAGTTTTTGTGATTTTTTTTTTTTGGTACACTTTGTTAAATCCGTTAAGAAATAGTGCTTGAACATTGTTCTGATCATTGGGAATGGCCCCTTTTAAATTTCTCGATAAAAGTGCAGTGAAAAGTAAAACCACTCCCCACTATAAAAGAAAATACAATAGGGAGAAGAAACTGCCAAAGAGCCATCAGTAAACAGCCCAACCAAGGAATCTCTAAGTCCATCCCCACCCACACAAGCAGGAAAGACACCAGAATATAAACTGTAAGAAAACAAGCTCAGAGAGCACCAAGGACCCCTTCAAGAATAAGATGGCATAGATCAGGGGTGTCCAACCTTGGCATAGATGATCTGCTGGGAATCTCATCACCTATATGTATATAATTGGCTTTGGCTGCTACTTCAAGGCTGCTGTGGAGTGGAATTAGCTGAGCTCCTCAGCCAGTGCAAATTCATCATCTCAATCTCAGGTGGCAAGAGAGATGATAACTCCATTGCAACACGCTTGACGTATGGCTAATAGAGAATTATTTATCATTGTTTAAGCCCTCAAAGTTCAGTTCATAAAACAGCTATGGGGAGAATAAAAACAAAAATTTCCTCCCCCTTCTCCCACGCCCCCAGGCAGTCATTTTTCTGGTGTGTCCATATGTATACATTTTCTTTGCACAAATGTCATCTTGGTGGATTAGTGCAGAAATGTATTAAAATGGTAGCAAATCTTAATACAAGGAGGGTTCTAGTGACTGAAACCCATGAAGTTACAGATTTATAAACTTTTGTAACTTTTAGAATGACTAAACACTTGTCTCCAAGAGGCTCACACAAGGGATAGAAATCACTACTACCTCCTGTTCATGTTGCCCATCAGATAAACATGCAGCTATTATAAGTAGGAGTCATTGTCTCGACCTACATTAGTTTGACTCATCCTATCTTGAAAGCATCTTAAGTTGGTAGTGAAAGTAACTTTATGATCAGCCCTTGCATTTAAGATCTGCAGATCTGTATACTTCGAAGGAAGAGCATAAGCAGTTGTGGTTTCACTTAGTAACTGCTTTGCTTAATGACTTGAGTTGCCTGTCCCCATTGCTGTCTGTAAACAAGGTGTGTATCTCCAGCTCTCGTTTATACGTATTTTGCATTCACCATTTCTGACAAATTTTCAATAGGTATGTTCATTTATCACAGGGAGTGCTTGTTTTCATTCCCGCAAAGCTGATAAATCTTTCTGGCATCTAATGACAGATGGCAGGGCCCATTTCCTCCTCTAGCATATAACCTTTTCCAGCTGAACAGGCTTTTGCAAGCATTAGTTAGCTTTTTACAATAGTTTATTTAATGTTTCGCCCATTTTCGGATCAACTGAATGGTCTTTCCATTAGAGCTCATGAACAAATCATCATTATCCTGTCAATTGTAAAAAAAAAAAAACCCAGATCCAATAAAGAAATCTTGCTGGCTACTATTATTCTTAGCTTTAGGAAGGGAGTGTAGGTTACTGGTGTGTATTTCTGTACAGAAGTAAGGAAATACGCGTATCCTTTTTCTAGCTTCAAGGAAAATGTCAGTGGTCGGAAAGCGATCCTGTAGCTTTCCCCAGCAAAAACGTTTTCGCCCGTCAGGCTTCCTCGCAAAGAAATACGTCCCTCGCACCTTCCAACGGTAATCGAGGCAGCCACTTAAAAAAAAAAAATCCCTGAAAACTACACAGGGCAAAAAAAAAAAAAACCTGTCCCAAATCTCTCCACTCTCCCTGCCAAACCTCCACCTGTCTCAACGCATTCTGCCCGCAACGCGCGGGACCTCCGGACTCTCCCACCGCGCTTCTTTCCGCCTCAAGAAACGCGCGGGCATTTTTGAAGGAAACGAGGCGAGCCAGGCCCTTGCAGGGATTCTCTTTTTTTTATCTCGCCGAGAGCGCGGCGATGAACCCAATTCACTTGAGTTCCCACGACGGCGTGTTACTTAACCACAGGCAAACTTTGTGGCTGCCATCGCGCGCTCTCCGCAACGCGCGTCGCGCTGGTCGTGGGGAGGGGAAAGTCCTGCCCCCGCCTCACAAACTAGTCCCGCAATTCTGAGCCGGGAAGGGTGGGGTGTGTGTGTGTGTGTGAACGAAACGCGTCCCGCAGAAGGGCGCGGTGAGAGGCGGCGGGACGCGTTTCTTTCCAGACCCGGCTGGGCTCGGCGGCTGCGCCAGCGCTTTCCAGTGGGGCGGGCCAGCCAGCCTGTCCGCTTCCCGTCTCTCTCTCTCTCTCTCTCTCTCTCTCTGTTTGCGCCACGCCCGAGGCCAGAGGCGCATCTGCTCCAGCTCGGGCGCGTCTCCTCCGATAGGCAAGGAGGAGAAGTCTCCGCGGTGCTCCCGCTCCAGACATGAGCCCCCAACGTGGGGAGAAACGGGCGAGAGGTCGGCGGCGAAGCCAGCTGTTGGCGCCCCCGCGGCTTTTGCTCCTTAACTTCTTCACCTGACGCCTCGCCGAAGAGCTCCTTCCCTGAGCAAACTGGAGAGATCCCCTTCGAGGATCAAGGTCGGAACTGGATCGCTTGCGCTGCCAGGGCGCGCAGCCGAGGATACGGCCACCGCACTCCCTCGGTGCGCTCGCCTGTTTTCCTCCCGCGCCGCCTCTTGTTCCGCAGTTGCCCCAGCGCGCTTTTGAAGCAGTAGTTAGGCGCTGAGTAATGGGTCGGCGAAGAAGGAAAATGCACTATATATTTGTGGGACGGTGGGAGGTTATTTTTCTTACGAAGTGAGTTGCTTTGGGAATGCAGGTAGTCCTCGACTTACTACCATGATGGAGCAACTGTAGTGATTCGCTTAACAAGAAAATGAGGCAAAATTCACTTAGCAGCTGCCTCATCTAGGGACAGAAATTTGGGGCTTCACTGTGGTCATAAGTTGAGGACCACCTGTACCGTGTTGCTTGCAATAAGAACATCTTTATTTTTGAAAACTATGTAGATGCTGCTTTTTTGTAAAATAAATTCAAGGAGGCTGGCACACATAGAACATTTTTTTTTTTGCTCATGCTTTTTCAAAAGTACGGGTAGTCTTTCACTTACAACTACAATGGAGCCCAATGTTTATGTTGGCGAGTAAGAACTGTGTTAACTTAATTTAATGCCCCATTTTACGACTTTTCTTGCCATGGTGGTCAAGTCAACTGCTGCGGTTGATAAGTTACTAACCCGGTTGTTAAGTAAATCTGGCTACTCCCATTGACTTTGCTTGTCAGAAGGTCACAAAAAGTGATTGCATGACCCCACTGGGACACTGCAACCATCATAAATATGAACCAGTCTGTCAAGCATCTGAGTTTTGATCACGTGATTGTGGGGATGCTGCAAAGGTTGTAACTTTGAAAACTGGGTATAACTTTTTCAGTGCTGTTGTAACTTTGAACAGTCACTAAATGAACTGTTGCAAGTTGAGGACTACTTGTACAGGTTTTAAAAGGTTTGTGATTCTTTTGTGTACCGATCTGTTTCTGCTCTGGAGTTGATCAGTTCAGTAAAATCTGGCCATTTGCAGTTAAACATGAAGTCTTTATTTCTTGTCCCAACATGATTTTTGGATTTCTATCTTAGCGATTGCTCAAATACTCTCTCCACCCTTTTTTTCTCTCTCCTTCTTCCACTGAACTTCTGAGCTATCCAATAATTTCTGTGCAAACTAATGAAGTATGTACCGGTAATTGAAATCCAGATCCCCCAGGCTAATAGCAGAAAATATTAGAAAGCAACTCTGCAATGGGAAAATCAACTGATCATAAAAAGTTGAAATAACTTTAAAGGTCTGTCATAAACACAGAGAGTAATATGTTATAGTCAGTACTGAAAGTATGTTAAAGGGACTGGCTCAGCTTTGTGTTCTGAAATGGAATTGTGCATGCATATAATTTACAATTTGGCAGTGACACAGATCCTTTGTTTAAATACACAGGCAGAGTCCAGTCTGCTAGAGGCATGGATTGTTCATGGACAGTGGGACTTCTAATGGGATACAGAAACCACTTTTTTTGCAGGTGTATTTCTATTCTAAAACAATGGCATTGCATGCAGTGTAAGAGCATTTGAAATGCTTATGATGCCAAGGCACCTTTTTGGATGCTTTTGCTATGTTATGGCAACACAATCTGTATCTAGTCCAGGCTAGTCCAACCTACATATCCAGGTGTATTGTTGCTGAGATCCTGAATTCATTTAGTTACCAGTAGCTTTTGCACAACTTAATTAAGTATAAAGAAGCTCCAGTTTAAAATGTCCGGTTCCCAGAGGTTTTCTTTGCAGTTCTTAGTTTCTTATTTGCATAAAAGTCTCAATGATAGCTATATGGTAGAGGCTGATGCTCCAGCCACTGAGACCACAGACTATTCTGGATGAAGATGATGGACATTAGATTGAAAATACAACTTCAAGGGAAAGTGATACTTTGGAAAGTCTAAGAATTAGGACTGCAGGTCCTCCAAGGGCTAATAGGTGTCACTTTTTTTTTTATTTCCATGGCTTTTTATTTCAGAGAAATGTATAAGAACTGAACTTTATTTTGGGCTGGAATAGGACATGAAGAATAAAAGGAGTTGGGAGATCACCAGATCAGGATGAAACAGAAGTTGAACATTTTTCCAAACCTACTTCTAGTTTTGCTCTGTGACTATGGTGAGTATTTGGTAAAATTAGCTGGGGATACATCACTCTTGTCATTTTGAAATGTGATGTCCAGATGGATGGACTGGCAAATCCCATCGTTCCTTGATGTCTAATAAAAAGCACTAAGTTGGAAGAAGTTCAGTAGGTACTTGAGGAAACTTGAGTTATTTTCCTTTCCTATAACTCTACACACCTGGAGGAAGACTGGAGCAAGCAGACTAGCCTATTACCTTCTCTGTTTTCTCTGCCCTGCCTTCCATATATGAACGGTGAACTTTCTGTAAAAAAAATGACCCTCCCTCAATGGTGGTTTTGGATGGTGGGGAAGCAGACAATTCATGGATCCAAAATCACATTTCTTAATGAATTTTAGACTTAACAGCAACAACATCGGCCATCATTGAATTGAACCAAGCAGCAAGTCTTGCTACATACAGTACTAAACAGTTTTAAGTGTTTTTTTTTTCAAATATCAAGGGAACTATTTAAAGTTGTAGCTATTAGCTTTAATTTTAGGTAGTTAATGGTTTTAAATGTTTAACTTTCTAGAAAAACAGATGTTCTTTCTAAAAAATTGAAATCCGGTATGGGACAGGGAATCAAAAGTAGTGGAGGTAGGTTTGTCCAATGTAGTTGTGCTCTGTTACATTGTATGATGTAGCAGCTTTAAAATTATTTGTTTGTAAGAATGGTAAGGGAGAGAAGATTTAGGAGGGAAGAGTGGAAACAGTGGGGGTTTCTTGCTTGTGGTTAACAGATGTACTTACTTTTATTAAAAACAGCTAAGAATAAGAGAATTAATGGACCTAGCACATTATAAGTGCAAGATCATTACTGAAACTTGATTGTTGTATAACTCAGCAATTGTACATATGCATACAGTTTGGACAGAATTACTATTTTGAAAAACAACTGGGCTTTTTGAATCTTTCACCCGTTCTGAATAAGAACATTGGTATTAAATTACATTAAATTTAGATTAAAACAGAATGACAGAGTTGGAAGGGACCTTTGAGGTCTTCTAGTCCAACCCCCTGATTAAATTAATTGTAAATTAATTGTAAATTAAGGGATTGTAAATTAAGCAGATAATAGTTGTGAACCATGTGTTATGTAGATTAAGGTAGGTAGCAGCAACCTTTAGAGATATAATTCTAACATCCCTTTCCACAGAGTATACTTTTCAGGGATGTTGAAAATTGTCATGCCTTAGGACTTAGGTGGAGTGCTATACTTGGTTAAATTCCCTAAAAAGCATGTAACTTCTACTTCTTCATGCTCTTCTCATTAACTGCGCTATCAAATTCTCTTTTTTCCCCAGTTCTTGGAGCAATCAAACTTCTCTTGGACCAACAGACTCATATAGCTTTAAGCAATGTTACAGTATCTGTTAGTTTTCAGAATTATTATTATGCTAATGACACACTGAAAAACACTTCTGTTCTACTCATGGAGGCCAGCAGCAACCAAATTGTTGCCCAAAAACAGCTTCCAGAAGACCAGCGTCAAGGTGTGATTGATTTTGAGTGTTCCTACTTTAAGAATGCTGGGAATTACTGGTTGAAGTTGGCTTCTGAAAACATCGGAGGGCTCCATTCCCAACAGAACGGAGAAAGTCTTCTACTCAGCGTGAAATGGCCTATATTTGACTTTGATTTGAGGAGGACGTTAGAGGGTCAAGTGAATTCCCTTCAACTCGGGCTATTTACTAATGAGTATTTATGTCCCATAAATAAAACAGTGATTTCTCTGGATGCAATTCTAACCAGCAACCTATACGAACTAAGGACATTGATCTCAAATGAGACACTGGGCCTGAGAACAAGGAAAAGCCTTCCTCTCTTTGAGTCGCAGTGGGTGAAATTGGACTGCCATGTGACTAGCCCAGAAGCATACATCACTGTATTACTGAAATCAGCAGAGACAGGCTCAATCATTGCTTCATCAGGACCTATAGATCTTGTGCACAAATTTGGATACAAGCTAGCCATATCAGAAGAAGTGCTATGTGAGTCATCAGTTGTGGCTTCTGTTATTTCTCCTCCATGCATATCATCTGCTGGACGCATTGCTGTGTTTAAGTATAACCCTCTGGGTCAAATGGTGTCAAAGCTATATGAAAGCATCCTGAATCCAGAAGACCATCAGATAGAACTCAGTTGCACGTTGTTCGACAGTGGCACAAACAAATACTGTTTTGAATTTAGCTCTTCCAACCAAGTGAATTCCACACCATGGGCAAAAGAATGTGTACTAATCCAAAGGAATGTTGGTTAGTATTACTTTTCCAAAATGTCTCATTTGAAATTGAAGGATTTCAGGGTCTTCTTGGATGCATATTCCGACTGGAAACTAGAGTATAATACAAAGGCATAATCCATCAACTTTTACAAATAAGCCTGCAACAGTGCTGAGTTGCACACACAGGATAGGATTCCTGCTAAATGTGGTAAAAATTATGCCATGACAGCTTGCTAGATGGATGAAAGGACAAGGGGAAAGGATTGCACTATATGTTTCTATACCTATTAAAGGAATGAATAGCTTATTAATTTTTAAAACATCAAGTTAAGTAGTATATTCTACTGTATATTCAAGCTTTTGTACGTATGCAGTTCTATAGATGGTGCTGGGCTATGCTATTGAAATCTTGCCTTTCTTATTTAAAAAGAAAATTTTTCTTGTACAATTTTTTTCTGTGGCTTCTAAAGTAGAGGCACAAGATGTGAACTGCAAAAATTCACAAGACCACAAAATAGTTGCAAAGGAAAATACAGATAGTCCTCAACTTTATGGTCACAATTGAGCCTAAAATTTCTGTTGCTAAGTGAAACATTTGTTAAGTGAGTTTAGCCTTGTGAAAAATGTCATAAGTCACATTTTTTCAGTGCTGTTATAACTTGATCACTAAAAGAACTGTTATAAATCAAGGACCACCCCCCCCCCCCCCCCCCCCGCCACCTAATAATTGTCCAGATTGTTGCAACCCAGACCTCATAACCATCTAATTTGTGTCCTTTGCCTCATTCCAACTTATACTTCTTCTCTGGTTTTATCTAAATATTTTTTTAAAAAAATATTCCCCATTCTAGAGACACATATTGTGTGATGATGAAGCAAATCAAGTAAATTTAAATAATGCAGAAATTCGAATGTGTGAGCATTGGCTTCAGATCCAGATTAGTCACAAAGTATTCCAGGTTGCCTTGGGCAAGGCATGGCAAACCGCTTTGATTTTCTACCAGATTTTATGATGCAAACCTCAGCTAAAAAAAGAAAGGAGTAGCCAGTCACAGAAACAGGCCAAGTTGCTCTGGTGAGATACAAGTGATTTGCTCAACCAACTGAAAAAATACCTTTCTCTTTTGCAATTAATTATAACAAACATCCAAAGAAATGTGATGATCGTGATTACTGTGTGACATGCAACACAGATCCTTTTTTTAAAAAATGTAGCCTTACATGGTCTTAGAAAGAAATTAACTAACAGCCATTTTGAATCTCTTCCCATACTCAGTAGATGAACTTTGAATAAGATTGTGGAAATGATAGATCACACATGGTGTCTTGCAAAATGTGTTGGGATTACAACTGCCAAGATTCACAGGCCAACATATCTGTAAAGTGTCATATTATGACAGGGCAATATAAGGAAGGGTATTATGGCATTCTGTGCTAGGGTTCTGCAACCAAACTCCTACACAGTATCATATGTTCCAGTTTCCATTGCCCACCAGTTCAGCTTGTGTGTTGGGGCTAATCTGGAGAGACTCTTCAAGCTATACATGAATGAGTTCAAACTGGAAAAATGTGGGCTGTTGCTTGGCATTATTAGAAATTCCTTTACAGGAAGGGAGGGCACGAGGCAGTCTCACCATGGCAATAATTCTGGCAGTTGAATAGGTAGCTGCTTATTACCGGACTGCTTATTACTTTCTTTGTTTATTACTTTCTCTGTGAGAGAAGGCTCCAAGGGTAAATCATTGAAAATCATACTGGTGTCATTTCTGAGGCGAATTATCTCATTTATTAAATGTCCCACAACTATGAAGGAGTTGTAGTCTCTAATTGGCCAGGCTTTTTTTTAGTTAGTTCTGCTCCTTCTCAGCATCCCAACATACAAAAATTAAACGTTTATTTCTATGCCAGGAAATGAACCACTTGTTTAATTTTTCTGTTTGAAACTGTTACTAAAAGCTTAGAACCATGACTGACAGCATGAACCCTCTGGCAATTCCAGTAGAGATGCACCTTCTCTCTGACTCAGTCATCATCCATCCAAGCTCTCCTCTTATCTGTTGTATAGGGAAATGAGGATTAAGTATAGTGGACAAGGGGAAAAATTATGCCCCCTTCACAAGCCATTGTGATCAATATACTGGTATAGCTGTCTCTATTTTGAGGTGGCCTAGGTATAAAAACTTTCCCAATCAATTATTTCAAATCACTTGCAAGAATGATTTCTCCCATCCCAGTAGCTCATTGACCAGGAAGGAAAGAAGGAGAAAGTAAGTGGTTCAAGGGAATACATTCCTAACCCAATAGAGAGGAAAGGGGCCCTTGAAGGCATTCTTGACTTTTGATATAGGGGAATTTGCTAACTGGGTTCTTCTAGTGTGACTAACCTGAGAGCTTTTAATCTGGAGAACTTTGATGCAACTGACAAACGGAGGTTTCTGAAAGTTGACTGAAGCATTTCACCTGTTCCTAGTAGTCCCAGAAGATGGGGCTTGTTGTTTATTTTTCATTTCTTGAATTGTTTTTATGGATTTTTTTAGAGGAAGGGTGAGAAACCTGTAGCCTAATAGTATGTGGCTAATATATCTTGACCGCATTATTTGGGAGAAATAGAGGTTGGAATCCAACTGTGTGGATGACCATACATTTTTGAACACTTCTTTGAAGTGTTGTTCCTACTCTGTAAGTTTTGAAGCTTAACGGATGAAATCTTGAGCTCAGCCTTACTGCTCCCATCTTGGATTCTTACCTATTTTGACACCTAATTTCCAATTTATATGAAATTGGATCTGAATCTAGGCAGGTCTGTTCTTTTTACCAAGTATTCAGGAATTTTTTTTTCCTGTTTATAGAGGAGTTATCTGGAGATATAGGCCAGAATTTGCTTAATGGACAATCGTTGTAATCGAGAAGTATTATGTTTGAGCAGATTTTGAGCAGCACAATTTTTCGTATCATGTTTGTATACATTAGTGTTTCCAATGTGAAATTTAAATATATATATATAAAACAGCAAATTATTTATTGGGCCTGCTACCCAGGATTGCCTACTCTGGGTGGCCAACAAATCTAGAGTCTCTCTTGCCACTTCTTATATGTTACTTCTTTAACTGGAGGTGTTGAGGGACTAAATCTAGAAGCACTGCATAGAAAAAGGGTTGCTCCATCACCACATGTGACTCCTCCATCTTTGTCACTCAGTGACAATCACTTAATGCTTCAGTAACAAAAGTCAACGTGCAGATGAGATAGAAGCAAAGATGGTTTGCAAGGATAAAAAGGGATGGAATGTCACGCAGAAGAAGGTAGAAGGTCAATTTATATACACTTTATCTTACACCTTCTATTGGCTTGATTAATTTATAATCATTTTCTTGCTGCATTTTGCATAAAGTTTTTTAGCCTAAAAGAAAAGAGTGTGGTGGATATATACATATGCATGGCATTCAGCTTTGTTCGGGTATTTTCCCACCTCATTGTAGTTGTGCTTTTAAAGTTGTAGCAACGTTTTGGCAGAATCTCATCTGCCATCATCAGGCTTCTATATTGTGTCCGTCTGGAAGCCTGATGATGGCAGATGAGATTCTGCCAAAACGTTGCTACAAC